TTCTCTCCCACAGCGAAGCTGAAGTCCGTCCGAATCATGTTAGCAATTGCTGCATACTATGATTATGAGATATGGCAGATGGACGTCAAAACGGCATTCCTTAACGGCTATCTTAAGGAAGAACTGTATATGATGCAGCCGGAAGGTTTTGTCGATCCTAAGAATGCTAACAAGGTGTGCAAGCTCCAGCGATCCATTTATGGGCTGGTGCAAGCATCTCGGAGTTGGAACATTCGCTTTGATGAGATGATCAAAGCGTTTGGGTTTATGCAGACTTATGGAGAAGCCTGCGTTTACAAGAAAGTGAGTGGGAGCTCTGTAGCATTTCTCATATTATATGTAGATGACATACTTTTGATGGGAAATGATATAGAACTTTTGGACAACATTAAGGCCTACTTGAATAAGTGTTTTTCAATGAAGGACCTTGGAGAAGCTGCTTACATACTAGGCATCAAGATCTATAGGGATAGATCAAGACGCCTCATAGGTCTTTCACAAAGCACATACCTTGATAAGATATTGAAGAAGTTCAATATGGATCAGTCCAAGAAAGGGTTCTTGCCTGTATTGCAAGGTGTGAGATTGAGCTCGGCTCAATGCCCGACCACGGCAGAAGACATAGAAGAGATGAGTGTCATCCCCTATGCCTGAACCATAAGATCTATTATGTATGCCATGCTGTGTACCAGACCTGATGTAAGCCTTGCCGTAAGTTTGGTAGGAAAGTACCAAAGTAATCCCGGCAAGGAACACTGGACAGCGGTCAAGAATATCCTGAAGTACCTGAAAAGGACAAAGGACATGTTTCTCGTTTATAGAGGTGACGAAGAGCTCATCATAAAGGGTTACGTCGATGCTAGCTTTGACACAGATCTGGATGACTCTAAGTCACAAACCGGATATGTGTATATGTTGAATCGTGGAGCAGTAAACTGGTGCAGTTGCAAGCAGAGCGTCGTGGCGGGATCTACATGTGAAGCGGAGTACATGGCAGCCTCGGAGGCAGCGCATGAAGCAATATGGATGAAGGAGTTCATCACCGACCTAGGACCCAATGTGTCGGGGCCGATCACTCTCTTCTATGACAACACTGGAGCTATTGCCCTTGCTGAGGAGCCCAGGTTTCACAAGAAGACCAGGCACATCAAGCGTCGTTTCAACTCCATCCGTTAAAATGTTCAAGATGGAGACATAGATATTTGCAAAGTACATACGGATCTGAATGTCGCAGATCCGTTGACTAAACCTCTTCCTCGAGCAAAACATGATCAACACCAGAACTCTATGGGTGTTCGATTCATCACAATGTAACTAGATTATTGACTCTAGTGCAAGTGGGAGACTGTTGGAAATATGCCCTAGAGGCAATAATAAAAGGATTATTATTATATTTCCTTGTTCATGATAATTGTCTTTTATTCATGCTATAACTGTGTTATTCGGAAAGCATAATACATGTGTGAATACATAGACCACAACATGTCCCTAGTGAGCCTCTAGTTGACTAGCTCGTTGATCAATAGATAGTCATGGTTTCCTGACTATGGACATTGGATGTCATTGATAACGAGATCACATCATTAGGAGAATGATGTGATGGACAAGACCCAATCCTAAGCATAGCACAAGATCGTGTAGTTCGTTTGCTAGAGCTTTTCCAATGTCAAGTATCTTTTCCTTAGACCATGAGATCGTGTAACTCCCGGATACAGTAGGAGTGCTTTGGGTGTACCAAACGTCACAACATAACTGGGTGACTATAAAGGTATACTACGGGTATCTTCGAAAGTGTCTGTTGGGTTGACACGGATCGGGACTGGGATTTGTCACTCCGTATGATGGAGAGGTATCTCTGGGCCCACTCGGTAATGCATCATCATAATGAGCTCAAAGTGACCAAGTGTATTGTCACGGGATCATGCATTATGGTACGAGTAAAGTGACTTGCCAGTAACGAGATTGAACAAGGTATTGGGATATCGACGATCGAATCTCGGGCAAGTAACATACCGATTGACAAAGGGAATTGTATACGGGGTTGCTTGAATCCTCGAAATCGTGGTTCATCCAATGAGATCATCGAGGAGCATGTGGGAGCCAACATGAGTATCCAGATCCTGTTGTTGGTTATTGGTCGGAGAGCCGTCTCGGTCATGTCTACATGTCTCCCGAACCCGTAGGGTCTACACACTTAAGGTTCGGTGACGCTAGGGTTGTAGAGATATAAGTATGGAGCAAACCAAAAGTTGTTCGGAGTCCCGGATGAGATCCCGAACATCACGAGGAGTTCCGGAATGGTCCGGAGGTAAAGAATTATATATGGGAAGTCGAGTTTCGGTCATCGGGAAAGTTTCGGGGGTCACCGGTATTGTACCGGGACCACCGGAAGGGTCCTGGGGGTCCACCAGGTGGGGCCACCTATCCCGGAGGGCCCCATGGGCTGAAGTGGGAGGGGAACCAGCCCCTGGTGGGCTGGTGCGCCCCCCTTGGGCCCCCCTGCGCCTAGGGTTGGGAACCCTAGGGGAGGGGGCGCCTCCACTTGCCTTGGGGGGCAAGGCACCCCCTTGGCGGCCGCCCCCCTAGGAGATCCCATCTCCTAGGGCCGGCGCCCCCCATGGGGACCCTATATATAGAGGGGGGAGGGAGGGCAGCCGCACCCTTGCACTTGGCGCCTCCCTTCCCCCTTGCTACACCTCTCCCTCCCGCAGACGCTTGGTGAAGCCCTGCCGGGATCCCTGCTGCATCCACCACCACGCCATCGTGCCGCTGGATCTTCATCAACCTCTCCTTCCCCTTGCTGGATGAAGAAGGAGGAGACGTCACGCTGACCGTATGTGTGTTGAACGCGGAGGTGTCGTCCGTTCGGCGCTAGGATCTCCGGTGATTTGGATCACGACGAGTACGACTCCCTCAACCCCGTTCTCTTGAACGCTTCCGCTCGATCTACAAGGGTATGTAGATGCACTCCTCTCTCTCGTTGCTAGATGAACTCATAGATTGATCTTGGTGAAACCGTAGAAATTTTTTATTTTCTGCAACGTTCCCCAACAGTCCTTTGCTACAAAAAGGATTGGGCCACCTTGCTGCACTTTATTTACTTTCATTGCTTGTTACCGTTACAAACTATCTTATCACAAAACTATCTGTTACCTACAATTTCAGTGCTTGCAGAGAATACCTTACTGAAAACCGCTTGTCATTTCCTTCTGCTCCTCGTTGGGTTCGACACTCTTACTTATCGAAAGGACTACGATAGATCCCCTATACTTGTGGGTCATCATTGCGGATGCTTGAGAGAGGGTTAATCATAAGTAGGGGGTTTGTTCAAGTAAGAACAACACCTAAGCACTGGTCCACCCATATACCAAATTATCAAAGTAGCGAACATGAATCGAACCAACATGATGAAAGTGACTAGATGAAATTCCCGTGTACCCTTAAGAACACTTTGCTTATCATAAGAGAATGTTTTGGCCCGTCCTTTGTCTAAAAGGGATTGGGCTATCTTGATGCACTTTTGTTACTACTACCGTTACTTGCTCGTTACAAATTATCTTGTTATCAAACTACTCTGTTACTTACAATTTCAGTACTTGCAGACATTACCTTGCTGAAAATCACTTGTCATTTCCTTCTGCTCCTCATTGGGTTTGACACGCTTACTTATCGAAAAGGCTGCAATTGATCCCATATACATGTGGGTCATCACTTATCATAAGAGATTGTTTTGGCCTGTCCTTTGCCTCAAAAGGATTGGGCTACCTTGCCGCACTTTTGTTACCGTTACCGTTACTTGTTCGTTACAAATTATCTTGCTATCAAACTACTCATTACTTATAATTTCAGTGCTTGCAGACATTACCTTGCTGAAAACCGCTTGTCATTTCCTTCTGCTCCTTGTTGGATTCGACACTCTTACTTATCGAAAGGACTACGATTGATCTCCTATACTTGTGGGTCATCAGTTCAACCCCTATGCGTAGATTACCCCAATGTCATCACGGCAATCTGCAGGTTGATAACCGAAACATACATCAAGTGAATCAATGGAACATCCCATTGTCACCACGAATATCCCATCGCAAGACATACATCAAGTGCTCTCACATCCAAAAGATTCAATCCGACATAACAAAACCTCAAAGGAAAAGATTCAATTCATCACAACAAAGATAGAGAGGGAAGAAAAACCATATGATCCGATTGTATTAACACAGCCCATGGTTACATCACGATCGTGCCAAATCAAGAACACGACCGAGAGAGAGAGAGAGAGAGAGAGAGAGAGAGAGAGAGAGAGAGATAACACATAGCTACTAGCACACAACCTCAGCCCCGAGGGTGAATACTCCCTCCTCATCATGGTGGCCACCGGGATGATGAAGATTGCCTCTGATGATGATTTCCTCCTCTGGTAGGGTGCCGGAACAGGGTCCCGATTGAGTTTTCGTGGCTACAGAGGCTTACAAACGGCAGAACTTCTCATTTAGGGTTCTTTCTAGGGGTTTGGATATTTATAGAATTTTTTGGCGTCGGTCTCATGCCAGGGGGTGCTTGAGGGGCCCACAAGCTCGAGGGCATGTCCTAGGGGGGTGGGTGCGCCCCCAGGTTTGTGGCCCCCCAGGTTTAAATGCATACCCATATATATATATGCATAGATCTTCCGCAAAAAGACTGGCTACCAGGCAGTAATTGAATCGATATCAGCACCTTTTATCAAGAGTCTCCTCACCCTACACAAAGAATCCAGTGGCCATTTATGAAACGAGCCCATGAATCAAACCATTCCGCTTTTTTAATCTTCCATTCCAAGAAGATTTGTTATAAAGCCTAGATCTTTCATTTGAACGCCTCACTCTATGTTGTTGGTAAAAAAAACGCTTGTGGTTTTGTCCCGTCTTGGGAACACCAGGGGTTGAAATGAATGCCTGCCCATGGTTTTTGTGGTGGGTTGAGATGGGGTTGGGTAGGTAATTTCGTGAAACGCCAGGGGGGAAATGGGGAGTTGGCCCCGTGATAAGACCGGGCCGCGTCTCCCCTCTCCCGTTCCCATTCCCCACTTCCCCACCTGTTCTAGAACCCAAACCCTAGCGGCCATGGATCCGTCCAAGCTGAGCGAGCTGCGCTCCTTCGTGGAGGCGTGCAAGAAGGACCCGGCCCTGCTCGCCGACCCCGCCCTCGCCTTCTTCCGCGACTACCTCACCTCCCTCGGCGCCACCCTCCCCGCGTCCGCCGCCGCCGCCGGCAAGCCCGCGCCCAAGGTCCGATCTTCCGTCCCTTCCCCTTCTTTTCCCCGGCCCCGATCTCTCGCTGCTTCCTTTCTTGTCTGATCTCCTTTTCTTGGGTTGGATTTGGGCCGGCAGGCGAGGTCCATGGACGACATCGACGACGACGACGACGAGGAGGATGAGGGGGAGGGGGAGGACGACCAGGACATGCGCGACCCCACCCCCGAGCCCGACGAGCTCGACGAGGAGATCGTCGAGTCCGACCTCGAGCTCGACAACGACGGCGTCGTCCACCCCGACCACGACGACGCGCCACAGAAGGTCGCCCTCTTCACCCCCACCTCTGTTTCCTTGTTTCCAATCGCTGCTCCGCTCTGCTACTCTAGATTCGCGGTCAACTCGCATCGTGGCAAGCCATAGCCTAGCCTAGCGCGCCATGGATTGTTTTGTTTCCCGGCCTAGTTATATTGCTCCTGTTCTTGGCCCCGTCGCGGTATATCACAGTGGACTAACAATCCTGCTGCCTGGCCCTAGATGGCTAAATTGTTACTCCCTCCGTTCCAAAATAGATGAACCAACTTTGTACTAGAGTTAGTACAAAGTTGGTTCATCTATTTTGGAACGGAGGGAGTACCTCACAACCCAGTATCATGATGCTTCCTTGTATAATTTATTATCACACTTCACCGCCCTGTTCTAGTCTAGCTTTATTACTACCAAGGATGTTCCTTTTTTTTATTCATCTTTACAATCTGTCAAGCTTCACTGCCATGTTCTAGTCTAGCTTTATTATTACCAAGGATGTTCCTTCGTTTTCTTCTTTACAATTTGTCAAGCTTCACAGCCCTGTTCTATTCCAGTTCTGCGTAATCCAGTCACATAAGCTAGTTGTAGCTTGTTCTAGCGCGCGATTACTTCTTCAATACAGCTGCCTCCCCGCTCTTACCACATCCCTGCTCTTACCACATCCCTTGACCGATGTGCTGATCTTGTTTGACAGATGGGAGACTCTTCCGTCGAGGTGACCGAGGAGAGCCGTGACGCCTCCCAGGAAGCAAAGGGCCAGGCAATGGAAGCAATGTCAGAAGGTACTACTCGCTCTTGCCTTGTTGTTTGCCTATGTGCTAGCTACCTGGCTGGCATCACCTCTGTTCCTTCGTTCTCTAATCTGTTGCTCTGTTTTACTATACTTTGTCAGGGAAACTGGAAGAGGCCGTCGAGCATCTCACCAAGGCTATACTGCTGAATCCAACCTCGGCAATCATGTATGGTACCAGAGGTATAAACGATGTGACTGCCACTCATGCATTCTTTCCTCTTTTTGCTGTACAGAAACATTCCTTATGTCGGTTGAATCCACTATCGGCAATCATTCATGGATGATCTACATTTACTTACTGCCCAATTTACTAGCAGTACCTGACTGGGTTGTGGAACCCCCCTTGTGTTTTATGCAGCATCTGTGTTCATCAAAATGAAGAAGCCTGCTGCTGCCATCCGTGATGCGAACGCTGCTCTAGAGGTGATGATTCTGTTCCCCTTCCGTCCCTTTATTTTACTGCCCTGTTCCGTCTCATGCACCATACCTGCCCTCCAGATGCAGAGTTTTCTGGAGTGTAAAGGGATGCTGGGTTAAGTATACAGAATTTATGTTGATTGCATGCAAGCAGGGCATGATGCTCTTTTATCTGATATTACCCGTCCTTCTGTTGTGTATTTCTTTCAGATCAACCCAGACTCTGCAAAGGGCTACAAGACCCGTGGGATGGCTAATGCCATGCTTGGCAAGTGGGAGGAAGCTGCTCGTGATCTGCATGCTGCGTCAAACATTGACTACGATGATGAGATCAATGCTGTGCTCAAGAAGGTGGGATCTTGCTGCATCAAATATGTCCTATATATATGTTTGGACACAACGCACATGCTCATATCAACGATCCTGATGCTGGTGACCTTGCAGGTGGAGCCTAATGCACACAAGATAGTGGAGCATCGCAGGAAGTATGACAGGCTGAGGAAAGAGAGGGCGGAGAAGAAAGCTGAGCGTGACAGGCTTCGTCGCCGTGCTGAGGCACAGGTGATTCATCATCATACTATTTTTTTCACTTGCGGTAGGAGTTTTCCAGGGTTACTGTTTATGGGTCATACTAATGCTCATGCATTGTGCTTTCAACAGGCTGCTTATGAGAAGGCCAAGAGGAAGGAGCAATCATCAAGCCGCTCTTCAGGAGGCATGCCTGGTGGAATGCCCGGTGGCTTCCCATTCCCAGGAGGCATGGGTGGAATGCCTGGTGGCTTCCCTGGAGGGATGCCTGGTGGTTTCCCTGGAGGTATGGGTGGTATGCCTGGAGGAATGGGGGGTGGTTTCCCTGGAGGAATGGGTGGAGGTATGCCCGCAGGAATGGGGGGCGGTATGCCCGCAGGAATGGGAGGCGGTATGCCTGGAATGGGGGGTGGTAGAGGAATGGGAGGTGGTATGCCTGGAGCTGGGGGTGCTCCCGGTAATGTTGATATGGGTGACATCTTGAATGTAAGTGCTTGCCCAGTGTCTGCCTGTCTTCCTTGTAACCATTACTCTTGATACCGGAGAAACCTGATTTACACAACGTTCTTCTTTCTTCTCTTTGAAACAGGACCCTGACCTGATGGCAGCATTTGGTGACCCAGAGGTTATGGCGGCCCTTCAAGATGGTACAGTTTTCTACTCAATTACTTCTCAAATCCCTATTTACTTTATAGTACAGTTGCCTGTTGTAATTGATCTTCCTGGTCAAGTCCTGATGCTGGAAAATTTCTCTTAATAATAGCAGTGGTCATAAGTGCAACATATTTCTGTACAAAATATTTAGTCTGTATTTAGAGTAGAGTTGTCATATGTGGTGAGTTATGGAAGGCACGGATTAGTTTGATTGAATATTCTGAACACGCAAGCATGCTAGTGATGTACATTCAATCCTGAAATCTGGTGTGGTACATCATTTTTTATCACTAGAGGCACTATATATGATGTGTTTGTCGATATCCTTATTCTTATACTACTAGATTGTTAAATATATATATTCTAATAATTCAGGTTAGTACTCATGGTTCCAACATTCCTTGTATGCATCCATTTCTAGAGAAGCTTGGACTAATTTACTGTCAAGACATGAAAGTTTTAATTGTTAGGACAAAGCTGTTTGCTTGTATCACGACGTATTTGCTGCTTTAGCGATGTGTGTGAGAGCTGCAGTAGGCTACATTGTTCTGGTCCTGTACTTCCTTACTGGCCGGGGGGTAGTATTGCATGGCTCAAATATTTAGATGGTAGGTAGTATTTTATACGAGCTATACTAAATCTTTGAACCTTGCGTATTCTTAAACTTGGATATTATTCTTATATGATTTGTACTGTCTAAACTTGGATATAATGCTGACAAGAACCGTAACCTCTGCTTATACGCCTGCTGCTTCAGGGTTGTTTCCTAGAGCTGCCTGTGTTGTTCTTGTTCAATAATACTTGCTTTGCAGTGAGCTGACCCTGTGTTTGTTGGTGCAGTGATGAGCAACCCTGCCAACTTGGCCAAGCACCAGGCGAACCCGAAGGTGGGGCCCATCATCGCCAAGATGATGGCCAAGATGAACGGGAACCGGTGAACGCCCCATGAGCCTTTGCCCCCGTGACCGACTGACGGTTTTGCGATCATCAGCAGGACAAAAAAAAACTCTGGTTTAGTGTTGGCAGTGTCTTTTTGGGCATCGAGAGACATGCGTGTGTTGTCGGTTGGCGATACTAGCGCGCAGAGACGAGACGCTTGTTGGATGGGGGATGCCGTGCCTGGCCTTTTATTACATGTTGGTAGTAAGTAGTGGTAGTGAACTTTGCGGTGGCTGACGGTCTGCGGATGCTTGAGGGTTTTACCGACAGTTCCTTGTTTATATATTTGGCGGAGAAGACGTTACAGCTGATGAATGCCTTTTATGCCTGTGATTCGTGTTGCCCGATTCTTATTCGAGTTCTGATTTTGCTGTGCTTTGCAATGGTTACTTGTTCTGTTTGCTGCTGTAGCGTTGCTAGTTGAATTGGTTCTCTGCCTGTTACTTGTTTGTTTCTTTTTTCCCTCGATTCTTTCGGTACAGCATTTTCGATTACAAGTTAGGACATTTTTCAAAAACTTTTTTGTAAATTGTGAATAATTTTCGAATGCTGGATATTTTATGAAAACATGAACAATTTCTAAAATTTTGAACAGTTCTGGTGACCGAGGCTCATCAAAGATGATGTCACCCCTGGTCCAGTACGTGTAAAGCTTCAGAGTTATTTAGAGATGATTAGCATTTGTTAACAATTTTTAAAAACGAAAAATTATTTCAAGCATTTCAATATTTTTGATGAAAAAACACAAATATTTTTGATTGTCGAGAGCTGTTTCTGTGAAAACGACGTAAAATCATGGCGCTTCCTTAGAGCCAATAGAACTATCGGCTGTTGGTGGCAAATGATAAACACGAATGTGTAATACCAGCGCAAGATCTGAAACATTTTTTGACATTTATTAGTGCGAACCAATTTTTGTAATGCACATTTGTTATGACACATTTTTTTGAAAATGTGAGCACTTTGTGAATTCTGGATTGTTTTAAAAAGTGAATGATTTTTTAAAATTCTGATGAAAATTTGATGAAAAGCACTTTCCCAAAAACACGAACAGATTTCGAAAATGGAAAGTTTTTTTTCGAAATTTCTAAATATTTTTTGAAAACATGAACTTTTTAATGAAAACATGAACATTTTTTGAACTTGAACAATTTTTTTAAATCGAAACATGCTTGAACATTCAAAGCGTTTTGTTTATACAAACTGAACCTTTTAGTGTATGGTGAACCATTTAAGTTTTTCAGTGCATATTTGTATGCGCTGATCGTCGTGCACCTCTTTTATACCTTGACCTTAGATATATGCATGTACTAGTACCTACCTTGACATGCATGCACATGCAAAGCTCATCTAAGGATCAACTAATGCATGTACATGTGTGATGACATGCTTTCTCTGTATCCTACGCATAACAAAAATCTTCCACATTCAAAAAAAAATGAATTGTAGTGCTTAGTCATGTAAGAGACACAAAATCATCCCTATTTATGATTTGATGGTGGGCCTGCAACTGAGGCAAAAAAATTCAGGCCCAATTGTGAGTCAAAGGATGGAGTTGTAAAGAGGAGAAAAAAGAGATCAAAGAGCCCAGTTGCATGTAATGATGGACGTGCAACTCGGACAAGTAAAAGGATTCGACCAAGTTGCAAGTCGACGTTGGACTAGCAATTGGATAAAAAACATCGGCCCAATTGCGAGTCAGGTGGACTTGTAACTAGGGTAAATAAAAGGACCAAAGGCCCAATTTCATATCAATGGAGGACTTTGCGACTGGGACGAAAAAGGGGTTGGACCTAGTTGCAAGTTGTAGGTTGACTCACAACTGCGACAGACAAGGAAAAGGATCAAGAGCCTAGTTTTTAGTCGATGATTGTCTTGCAACTTGGATAAAGAAAGAGGCGGGCCCAGTTGTGAGTCGATGGTTACTTGCAACCCGGACAAAAAAAGCAACACCTAGTTGCGAGTCGTTGGTGGACGTGGAATTGAGGTGAAAAAAAGCCGGACCCAGTTGCAAGTTAAAGGTGGACTTGCAACTAATAAAAAAACTCAGACCTAGTTACAAAACAAAAACATATTGAGCCAGTTACGAGTTGAGTGGTGGAGTTAGGCCGCTTTTCGTACGCCGACCTATTCCCGGCCTAATTTTGAGCCTCATTTGCATCAGCGCGGACACGAGATGGACGCGCGCGCCGTGCGCCAACTACTCCCCCTAGCTCGCCAGTCGATGGCAAAGCCTCCACCATTTCCCTCCACTTCCTCAAAAACCTCCTGCCTACGCGCGCTTCCGGCCGCTCGCCATGGACGACGCCCTCGATGCCGCCGCTGGCTTTGCCTCCCTCGCCTCATCCGGCATCACCTCCGCCCCCTCCTGCAAAGGCATGCCCCGCGCCCCCCGCAAGACCGCCGCCGCGCCCAAGAAGAAGAATCTGACGCCCGATGAGCGGAAAATCAGCTTTCCACGCCCGCGCCCACGCCGGAGGTGAGCGTCTGACAGTTGTATTGAACCCATGCTCATATCAATTATTCCAGAAGTCCAAGCTGATGAATAGAGACGAACAACAAATCTGAACAAGTTGAGCATATTACAATTGGGAGTTGAGTTGAAATTGTTGAATTCCATATGAGATTTCCAAACACCCCCTGCTTTTCATCACACGAAGGTTCCAAGACCTAAGTGGATAAGACGCCACTCATCTTATCAGTCTCTCTCATCCGCTAGTCACAGCCAGGCTTTACGTAGCTCATAATGAACCGACCTATATTACATTTGGATTTAGCTGTTTTTGGCCAAATGCACCCTGTCCTTTTGAGTGTCCGGTAGCAATATGATTGAGTGGAAAAATTGACGGAAAGATGGATAATGGCATCAAACGATCCCCATCCGTCACTTCATAATTCCTAATAAAATTCCAGCCTTAATCTGGACCAGATCAGGAAAGGTCGCGCCGTTTTCCACACACCGTAGATCAGTGTGCTATGGCCCACGAGATCCTGGTGTGCCGCGGCCCATCTCAAACGCCGTAGCCTAACCCGGCAATGGTGCACCTCTCCCCCACACACCGAGCTTCCGCAGCGCCGCTGTGCCTGGAACGGTCAACAGAGATGTGGAGGAGCTCCACATCAAGCTTGTGTATATCCAAAAGTTAAATACACCACGGGTGCCTCCTTTGCCTCTGTGTCAATGGAGTACAAAGAGCCTGCGTATCCAATACTTGCGACCATGTGGCGTGCCCCTTCATCGGCAGCCAGTGTTTCGTGTGCCTGTCCTTCGGTAAGCATTTTTCACACCACATAGCTGAATCTTCCGACAGACCGAACAACACTGGAAAATGGCAATGCTTGCTCCCGAGTTCCATGTATCAGACGGCTGTAGGTCCCATATCCGAAGGAGAGCCCTGAACCAGCACCCACGTGCCTATATGCATTACTCCCCCTCCGCCCATCCCGCCATCTCGAAGAGCGAGAACCGTCCTTTTT